AGTCAGTCCACCGTCAACGCCAAGAAAGACCCGAGCTGCAAGATCTGCAACATCAGCGTGGGACGTTAGCTGAATGTTTTGACTAGACGACCAGCTAACTTGCTAAAAAGTGACATGGTGAATAGATAGTAGCTAAGAAGCTACTAATTAAGTTCACCACCTGCTTGTAGTGGAGCGAGTAGCTAGCTAAGTGCTAGCAATGCCTGGCTAGCTAGCAGGCAGTCCACTTAACTAAACACTAAATCCACGTATTTAATGTGTATAGTCACTTTATTAAACCTTCAACTGATTCTGGTGTTATGAACCTTTTCTCTTGGTCATCCAGAAATCATAGAACCATAGTTACATGTGTAACTTCAAGGATAATATAGAACTGATGTGAAACCAGAACGTAACTCTATTGAAGACATACGAAAACCCAAAATAACAAAATATCCTTTCTGACAATATAACAGTGCTCAACAAATTATAGAAGTATTTCACTGGTGGGAAGATGGTCTGTTTTTGAAACTGGGCTGTCTGTGAAGGAGAATGAAAATACTTTTAAAATTGGTGCCACATGACAAGAGGAAACAGGAAAAGGGCCGTGGCCTTCGCTTTTGCTCAAAAGGTAGAAAACCTACAACTACCAGAATGCACCACGCAGCACCGGACCAATGCTGTTTTCCACAGAAAACAATATGGCACCCAGTTCCTGTTCTCAGACTCTCATTTTACAGCCAAACAGTGCACTAAAATATGTTTCTGTAGACATTTTATGTGAGAAATAGGCAGTGTAGTAACAAAATATTAGTTTAGATTTGATCAGCCCTGCAGAGTTTGGTCTGAGTTTGAGGGGCAGAGAGGGACTCGAAAAACAAGGGGTAGGGATAAAAATAACAGATGGGAGTGGGCGTTTGTCTGTAAGAACCAGAAGACTGCCTGATACCTTTTTAATATTGTTGAGTACATCATTTAGAAAAAAAACATTTCTATCAGACACTAAACACTGTGGCAGCTCAGTTAGTTTTTAGGTGAGTGGTATATTTTAAAATAAATTAAAACCTTGTTGCTGCTAAATGTCTCACTAATGACAGAAGGTACTTTTCCTCGCATATATGTATTTTTAAATGAAGCCAAGAGAAACAATGTCTACAGCTATTTTTCTGACTGATTGAGCACAAGACAAGAAATAATTTTATATCTGATTTGATCTTTTTTTTTTTTAAATAACTGTGTGTTCTGCTTTTATTTCAGTAATCAATGGACAGCTAATATATGACACATTAATGACCTGATAACTGTTAATATGTTTCTGCTCTTGGCAGGTAACATCACCACACTCTGTAACACTTGAATAAGACAAAGGGCTGCTGTTGTTGTCGTGGAGATGAAACTGTTGTCTTCTGATTTCTGGGGTTTCACCAGGTTGTTGTCTGTGAGCAAAAAGAGACACTGCAGACTGAAAAATGAAAATTATAGATGTATTACCTTAAATATGTTTCTGTGTTATTTTTTATTTATTTTTTTTTTTGTTGCAGCATAAACTGAGAATCTGGGAGGGTTTGACTAATGCTGCAAAATGAGTTGGGTAAAGATGATATGACAGTAGGAAGCCACAACAGATCTGGGTACAAATCAACAGATTGAGAAAACAAATTATTAAAAGTTGAAGTGTGTCACATTTAGGGGCGGTGTGTGTAATCAGATTACAACCAGCTAAAAGTTCTCCTGGTTTGAATTTTCTCAGTATTTATTGTTCAGGAGGTTTTTACAGAAATCTGAAGCAGTACAATGTTGCAGCAGGTTGTTTTTTTACTCGGTATAAACTCACTTCAGGGAGTGTAGATAAGTTAATTTATGGGACTTCTGATGAAGTTTAATCCATTGTTTTAAACGCCGTTAGGAGCTCAGCCCTCTCACGCCACGCATGCTCGCCACTGTGGTCCAGTGTCAAAGTTTACATTTTATTTAGCTCGTCTTGTTTTTGCTGTGAAATAAAGGTCAGATATTTTTTAGTCAGTCTTTGTTGAACAAATTACTGTCACAGATTTCATCACCAAAAATAGTTTTCATTTATTTTTTTTAAAGATATTTTTTCAGGCATTTTTAAGCATTTAATCGATAGGACAGATGAGTGTGAAGGGGGGAGAGAGAGAGGGAGTGACATGCAGCAAAGGGCCACAGGCTGGAGTCGAACCTGGGCCACTGCGGCATCAGCCTTGTACATGTGGCGCCTGCTCTACCACTAAGCCACGTAGTTTTCATTTCTACAAAAAAATTTCATGAATTTATGAAACTACAAAGTTTGTTTTAGATTTTTTTTCCCCCAAACATGTTTACGTTCAGCAGCTTCACAGAAACTAATCTGATTTATGTCTTCAGTAATCTGTTGCTTACATGTCATGTGTTCTTTCCATGTTATATCTTCTCATCACGTTTTCTCTCTGACAGGAAGCTGCCAACAGTAACCGCTCTGAGCACATTCATCATGTGAGCTGCTCACATTTCCTCAGCTCACTTTCTCTGAACTCGTCAGCAAAACTTCATTTTTAATTCTCTTAGGGTGTTTTCACACTTGGTCCTTTTCAGCCCTCTCAACAGACTCAGAGCTGTGACTCAGCATTTTTTGTGCATTTGTGAACACTCCAAAAGAACTCAGACCCCTCTGAAGTGAACTGAACTCAGACTGCTTTGCTCTTTGCAGCTCTATTCAGCCCACTAGATCACATGTTGTTGAAAAAACACCTGAAAAAAAACACGCCTGAAAAAACAGACAAAACCATGTCTGCCTGTAACGCTTCCAAGGACGCAGGACGAGGAGTGGTTTGATCAACTTAAGGTACTGCACGTCTCCAGATGTGGAATATAGAATACATCAAACAGCAACAGTCTACAGCACAGACACACTGAGGGTTTCCTCCAATTTTAGGTACATCTGAAAGCAATGGAGCTTCATAACCACACTGCAGTGCCACGTTAAAGTAAAAACAAAACTACATCAGTATATATTATATGTAGACTATAGTGTGAACAGAAAGAAGACTGAGGCCCTGTCAGAGCTGAAGCAGACCAGAAAGAGAACCCCTTTCAAATTAACTGACAATGTGAACACAAAAAGAACTGAGTCCCTTTTCTGTTGGTCCACTATTTTGTGCACTTTAAGTAGACTAAGTTTGGTTAGTTTAAAAAGGACTAAATGTGAAAACATCCTTAAAGGAGCTATATGTAAGAAATCTAAGGCAAATAGTCATAAACTCATCCTAATATGTCACAGAGACTAAGGAATAATGTTCATATAACATACTGATCTCACCGACAACAATAGTACAGCCAGAATATTCACATTTAAAAAAATAATTTACGGTCCGCAAATCACATTCATGTTTTGAATTTTTGTTTTGGCCTGTTGCGCCACCCACCACCGTCTACCAGTCACACAGTCAGTAGAGTCTCAGCATCAGTTACAGTTACGACTGAGCTACAGCAGCACGGCAAGCAGCATTAGCAGTGTCCCAGTACATAGCATTAGCAGTCTCCTCCGCTGTATCCCGGCAGCAGCATTAGCAGCAAGCAGAGAAGCCGGACTTGCTCGAACAGTCCACTGGAAAACCGAAGATCAAGGACGCGGCGACACGGCCCTGCCACGGCAGCCGTCCGTGGGCAAACAAATCAGTCTCCAGAGTGCCGCTATCCAGCAACCTCGCATCTGCAGGGGACGGGGTGTGGACACGACTCACGGCAGTATTTTGAATTTGAGTGCAGTAACCTTTTTGGCCACATTCTTACCTACAGCGCCTTTAAACTGATCCTCGTCCTGCGTCCTTGCAAGTGTTGCAGGCCAACATGGTTTTGTCTGTTTTTTCAAGCATCCCAGGTCAACAGCATGTGATCTAGAGGGCTGAATACAGTGGCAAAGCGCAAAGTGAACCTGGAGCGCTTTGTGTTCACAGGTCACAGGTTAAGCAAACCTCACTGCGGTGGTCTGACTACACTGTAATTTCCTGGGACTTTCCCCATAGTGGCTGCGGGAGGTCATTGTTTGATTAATCCTGTATACATTAATTTCAAATGAAAACCATAATTGTTAGACATGTCTTATTTTTGCAGCAGAAAGCAAAGGCTTCTGTCCTCCCAGTCATCATGTTGTACCCTCACTGTGCTTTGTTGCGTGTGGTGCAAAACGTGGCACCAGAGGAGAAAATGAACGCCTTTTCACTTTAATATAAATGACCATATCTCAAATACTAAATAATTATTAATTCAAATAATTTGTGTAATATCACAAAATATGTTCTTTATATTTCTACTTTTAAATCTTTTGGATCACTTTTCATTTTGTTTTTATTTTGTAAAATCTGATGATAAAAGATCCAGAGGTCTTTTTCACAGTGTGGGTAGAATGAGGCGTGAGTTGGAATGGCTGTTTGGTGCGGCATCTGCAGCGATGTGGGTACTGTGCTGGACCGTCATGGTGAAGAGGGAGCTGAGCTGGCAGGCATAGGATACTCAGAGTCAGAGTTCCAGACAGGAGAATAACCACAATCCTAAAACCTGCCATTAAGAAAATAGTCAGGTAAACAAGTTACAAGAGATAACCTGTTACAGCTCTTCACCCCTCACGACAGCAGTACACAAGATAAAAAAGAAACCCAATTTAGTTTCATCATCAGTTAAATCATTTTGTATTCAAACCAAATAATAATGAAGATAAATTTAAAGCTAATACTTAAAAAGAAAAAAGAAAAACATTTATTTATTTCAAATATTTAATAATAATGTTTTAAGCAAGGATTAAACTTTGAGGTGGTTGTGGCGCGGCAAATGTGCCCTCTCATGATGTTATCTCAATATCTGGTCACGTTTAGTGAACGTGTCCTCTAATCAGTTTTTCAGTTCTGAGAAGCTGCTCAGCAGATGGCTGATGACCAGATAATATTAAAAACAGGAAGTGGCACATATTAACAGAGGAACGTTTAACGAATTCATCAGATGAGAAGAGACGGGCGGTCTGACTGGACATGGATCACCTGCTGATGGTGTTGGTGTTGCTGTGGAGCTCAGGTAAGACTCAAAACCTCAGTGTAAAAAGATCTAATTTAAGTCACAGTCGTATACTTAAAATCTGCCTGAATGGGAACATTATCAGTAAAATGTTGTGAGGTGTCTGAAGTTAACTTGATTTAAAAAAATAAATTGCATGCCAATTTAACACACAGGTCACAGACACACACTGATGAATGATAAACAGTCGCAATCAATAGTTGAGGACATGAAATTAAAATATATAATAAATATTTGAAATAAAATACTAATGAAAAATAAAAATGGATGAAGCCAAAAATAGACACACTACCTCCATCATCTACATAAGAATTGAAATACATCAATTAGATTAATATATGGAGCTAAATTAAGTCCCTAATACCATTTTTAATCACTTCAGACTTAATAAAACTCTAGGACCTCTACATCCACTAGAGCTATATTGGTATAAACACAAATTTCTCACCAGGTGGGGATAGAAAGAGAAAATCTCCTTTCAGATTTAAGAAAGCTCAAAGTAAAAGAAACATTTCACTGCTATAGATGGGGGACCATCTAACAAGTAAAAATGTCCTCACAAGTAAAAATGTCCTCACAGCAAAGGTGTTTTGTCAAGGGTTGGTCCGCACGAGCATAGAAAGACAAGCACACACACACACACACACACACACACACACACACACACACACTTAAATAGATAATTTTACAGAGCAATAAAATAGAAAACATAATAAAGGAAACAGATGTACAATAAAAGTAAAGAGAAACAAAAAGATATAAAAGGTAAAATTAATTACCAAATGATGTACAATTGAAAGAAAACACCATTAAAAATAGCAAAAGTGCAGACAAGAGGTGCAAAGATAAAAAGAAATTTTAAATGTTTTAAAATCGGGTTTAAAAATAAGTTTGCAGTCATCACAGGGTGGAGCAGGCAGTGTAAAAGAGGAATGTGTTTAGCTTTGACTTAAAAGTGTTCAGAGTCGGGGCTGCATCACCATATTTTATTCTGACTCTTGAGACGGTCAGTAGAGTTAATGCTGTGTTACATTAACTCTTTAAGAAGGTGTTAATCCGAGCTGCAGTGACAGAATCACGGTGTAAAATCAGCAGCACGAGTTAAGTTTCATCCAAATGCAGTACAAATTTTAAGCAAAGTTTTACAAAAACAAAAAAAAAGCAGATGTACGTGCTTTTGCATCTACTGCTGTTGGGAGCTGGTTCATTAAGATCAGCAGTAGATGGCACCTAATCTCCAGTCAGGTGCCATCACAGAAGAGGGTGCAACGAGATGACATGTTTAAATGCCAGTGAACCCTCAAATGGAAAAAAAATGGATGTGTAATACACTGGACCTTTCATCAATACATCAGCTTTTCCACCTCCCCAAATCGCAAAATTCTTTCTGCAATATATTGAGATTTTATTCAAATTTTGGCAAATAAAAAATGCACTAAACAGTTGTAAAGCACACCTACTGTCAGATGATGTCATCACTCCAGGGATAAAAGAAACTTTGCACAGTTAAAAGGCTAGCTGCTAAACTCATTAGCAGCAGCTGTGTTTTCACTGAGATGAGTCTGAGAGTCTGTTGCTTTATGTAAATGTTTCTTCTCTGATTTTCTCCACAGGAAAATGCATCTCAACAGGTAAACAGAAAACAAAAAGATAAGTGAAGGGGGTGGATGGGTCAACAAGGTGTCTGGATCCTGTTTCACCTGTTTCCACCATAGTTCTCTGTTTAATCAAGTAGCTCTGACAGGGGCAGGTTGGTGACGGACCTTTGTGTTGTCATAGCCATGTGACCTCAGAAGCCTCAGTACTATGAAGCCAGTTCAACTTACCCAAGATATCTTTTCGTTATCTGGTTTGACTAACCCATCACATTGGCCGTCTGGATAACCAGTACTACAAAGCTGGTTATTAACTAGCTCAGTCAACTCTGGGTTTTCCTATCAGCCATGAGCACGTTCATGTGAAAGAGGCGGGGCTGATAATTATAAGCAACATAATCAGAACCATGAATGAAGGAGGCTGCTTCATATCATGTGAGATGAAACAGTAACAGAAATCACCAGTGGGAATTCTGATCATGTTAGCATACTAATGTTAGCATTTAGCACAGAGCTCCATTGTGCCTGAACACAGCCTCACAGAGCTTCTGTTAGGCTGTTAGTCTTTGCACATCATATCCCATAATCCTCTGTTTTCCTCCAGGTGTTCAGTGTGAAACCACAGCTGAGGTTGACATTGTGCTGTTGGTGGATGGCTTCGGGAGCTTCGACCCTACCACCTTTACAACCATCAAGTCCTTTTTGGCTAGACTAGTCAGAGGCTTTGACATTGGCCCGGACAAAGTCCAGATTGGTAAATCTGAGTAGTTCTAAATCAGTACTTTTTTTTGTACTATAATCTTTAGTACCACAGTGTTATCTCAAACCTTTACACTGTAATGTGAAATTGTTGAAATACAGGTACAGGTCTTGTACTTAAGTTTTAAACCAAGGCAAAAGTTAATAAATTAAGCAGCAAAATATAAAGCATGAAAAGAAAAGTATTAGGTTTTGTGTTAATCTATAAATACTATTTGATGTATGGTAGTCGACTACCTTCATTAAACTTCATACCTCTCTACTAGCATTGATTTCTACTACTACCATGACTATACTACTGATACTCAGTCGCCTTTTCACCAGATTAGAGATTAGTATAAGTGTCACTACTTTTCCTGATTCTGCTACCACCACTTCATAGTTACAGCTACACCTAATTCTGATACTACTGTCCCCACTATTATAACTACTATTATCACTGTTACTACTAATTCTGCTATAAATACTGTTAATACTGTTACTACTGCTGTTCTGCTGATACAGCTTGTAAAAGAGGAAGTTAAATGTACGACCACTCAAACAGAAAAGAACAGGAACAGGAAATACATTACAGTGGTGCGAGAAATGAGAAACATGGATGAAGGAGCATCACCAGTAAATCTGGCTGCAGGCCTCAAAGTTCGAAGTTCAATTTTTTAAATAATTGATTGAAATATTTAAAATGCCATGATAAAATTAAATTAAACAACCAACAGGATATAGTATACCCATATCTCCTTATTTACTGTGTATAATATTTTAATGAAAAAACATTTGTTAAAACAGCTATTTAGATATTTGTTTTTAATAACTGAATAAACTGTTTTTCCTAATGACATGAATTTTCCACATTGAAATCAAATCCCAACAACAAAGAAGAGGGATATTCTATTTTTGTACTGTCTAGTTTCTTCCATAATTATCATTTAAAAGCATTTCACACATTGCTGTCTTTTCCGCAGGTATGGTTCGGTACAGTGATGTCCCAAGGACCGAGTGGAACCTGAACACCCACCAGAGCAATAACTCCCTCCTGGAGGCCATAGATGATCTGCAACAGGAAGGAGGAGGCACCATGACAGGTGATTAACAGTATGTTGTCCACTCCCAGCTGTTCTCACACACTGTTCGTATGTATACCTGAGAAAAGTAATGGACCACAATTGTTATAGAACCCACATTATCATGAGATGGACTTTTTTTTTTTTTTATCAAAGAACCAGACATTTTCTAACACAGTTGTCAAAAGGCTCCAACTGTCACTCACCTAACAGTCTGTGAGAGGGGCACCTGAAATAACTCCCCCAACCTCACAACTCTATGCTTTTTGATGCCTCTTTGTCACACAGGACTTGCTCTGGACTACATCCTCCATAACAGCTTTGAAGCCAATGTGGGAATGCGAGCAGACTCCCAAAAAATAGCAGTCTTGATCACTGATGAAGAGTCCACCGATGACCCATTCCTTCCCTCAAAGAACATGAAGGACGCAGGCATTGAGGTCTACGCTATCGGTAAGTGACTTTCAGTTTGATTAGCAAGAAAGCAGCACAGCCTCAGAAATGTTTGTGAAGTGAGGATAAGCTCTGAAATGCTTTTGGGGTCTCATTTTTTTGGCCACAGAATTAACATATTATTTTTCTCTCAGGTGTAAATGATGCAGATGAGACTGAGCTGCTTTCCATTGTCTCCGATCCTGATGAAATTCACATGTATAATATAGTCGACTTCTCACTCCTGTCCATCGTTGACGGCCTCACCATCAACATCTGTAATGGCGTGAATGGCTTGGGTAGGCAAAAAGTCTGAGGCATTAAACAACAATAGATGTTAGCACCATACTGATATGCTGGTATCAGAATCAAGAAATCAAGGTTTTAGAAATTGTTAATAAACATTGGCCACTTTTGGGTTCTTACAGTTAGATATCTTTGTCTTACAATGAGCTTTGAGGTCCTTTGTAGGGTTCTCGGCAGTTAAGCCTCTGTAGCCAACCTGAACCAGCACACACTGCACACACTATCTTTAGCTCTGGTACTCGCTTACCAGGTCTGTGGTCTTGGTTGTCTTAATCTTGAAGACCACAGTTCGGATGTAGGTCTGGACTGAGCATGGTCTCTGCAATAGTGTCTGGGAATTCAAGCTGTCTCCCGAGGTCAAACTTCAGCTGCCAGTCTAGATCATGTGTCAAGAAGCCCAGCTGAATGATCTTTAGTGCTGCAGAATCGTACATCGTACAATCGTATCCTATTGTATGCTGATGTTGTTTCAGAACTGACACTGAGACTGAACATTTGATAAAGTCCAGAATCACTGATCTTACCTGGAACATGGTGTTGAACTGTTTCCACCAGCTTATGTGGTATAGAGCCATAGGCTTTGGTGAGGTCCTGCCACAGAGCAGGAGATATCTCATCTGCTTATTTGTTATTTACTGTTAACAGAGTTATGATGGGGTTTGACTGCCTCAAAACAATGTTAGTTCCACCCACATCTCAGCCCCAGAAACCTTATTGACTCACTAAGCTGACCTCTAAGCACAGGGATTGGTTTCCTTGCTGTTCCTTGCTGTTTTGGCTTTGCACACAGTTCAAAGCTCTGCTGCAATCAAAATTCTGCTTTATATTCATGTTTATTCTCTGATTTTCTCCTCAGGAGTCCGGGCTGCAGGAAAAAACATCTTAACAGGTAAACAGAGACACAAACCACCGTCTTTCTCTCTGCTTAAACGTGCAATATGTAATTTTCTCAAACCAAAACAATAACAGAAGACGGAGTTGGATGACGTCACAAAGTAGTGTGGGATCATGGGAGTTGTAGTCATATAACAGATACAGATCTGACGTTCCTCAGTCCGTGAAACTGAAACCGACCGTGGCAGTTTTTTGGCAGAGCGAGCTACTTACTTTAGCTGAGCGGTTAGCAATCTGCTAGTTATTTGAGCAAACTGCTAACGTTAGTTACTTAGCTTTACAGTTAGCGATGGCTTCTCCCTCTCTGCTGCTCACTCTTGCTCAGTGCGTCTTATGTTTAGCTATTCCTCTGCCTCTTTTATAAATGCACTTCATTTACCGGCATCAGCTCAGCATTATAGAAACCTATCGTTAGATGTTGTGGTTAGCCAGCCTCCGCTCCGCAGCGGAGGCCGCTGGAAGGAGCGCTGGTGCCCTGGCGGGCAGCAGTGCTTGCAATACACTGGTCGAAATGATTAATATTTCAATAACATCAGCCAGATGTTTGCTTACCTGTCTAGTAGAACACACACGAGGTTGGCATCGAATTGTAGTCCTAGATTTTCACAAAGCTCTCTCCATCTCGGAAAGGCCACACCAATATTTATCCTTGATTTAGCTCTCTTCTTATCCCAAATTCTTCTGGGATAGCATGGTTGACCAGTACGTTTCCATTTTACAGGCTTGTTTACCGAGACAGCTTCGGTGTCAGAAAGTGCAGCAACCGTCAATGCATAATCATGATCCATGACGAGTTAGCTTAGCCTAGCAACAGTAACGTTCATTCTCTGACGTCTCATCTGGTCTGATCTTCTTCTACTCCTTCATTAATTGCTATGGTAACTGGAGTTACGTGGCCATTGACATGTGACCTAATGACACAGTCCGTAACTTTTATTTATATTTCATATTTATCTGGGTTTGAAAAATTGTTGGAAACATTTCTGATAATCAAAGTACACAACTAAACAAAATATATAATATTGGTTTAGTCGTTTTTAGAAGTTATAAAAACTACATATTATACCTTTAACTAAGTAGTTCTGACGTGGACAGGGGCGGCTCTTTGAGGACCTTTGTGTTGTCGTATCTCAGGGACATGACAGGGACATCTTACTTCTATGTTTAGTCTTTTGCATAATGTATCCCACAATCCTCTGCTTCCTTCCAGGTGTTCAGTGTGAAACCACAGCCAAGGCTGACATCGTGCTTTTGGTAGACGGCTCCTCAAGCGTCCTGTTTATCTTTGGAACCATCAAGACGTTTCTCACTGGGATAGTCAGCGTCTTTGACATCAGCCCGGACAGATTCCAGATTGGTAATACTTTGATTTTTATGTTTACCGCTGTGTTACGTCACCTTTTCTTTTAATAACACTCAGTAAGTGTTGGGGAACTAAGGACAGCAATTGTTGAAGTTTTTCTTGCTTGATATACAACTTCAGTGTCTCAACAGTCCGGGGTGTTCATTGTTGTATTTTGTGCTTCATGTTCCACACATGTTCAGTAGGAGACGGGTGTGGACTGCAGGCAGGTCAGTCTGGTATTTGCACTCTTTTACTACAAAGACGCTGTCTGAACATGTGCACAATGTGTCTCATTGTGTCGCTTGAATAAGACGGGACGTCCCTGAAAAAGACATCGTCTGGATGGAAGCATCATTTCTCACCGTGGTCATTTAGCGTGCCCTGCGGGCGTGCTGTGTTTACATGGCAACTCGTGCGAGACTAGCTGATGGCTAGTGGAGGTGCTAGGTCTCGTGCGAGACTAGCTGATGGCTAGTGGAGGTGCTAGGTCTCGTGTGAGTTGTCATGTAAACACAGCATGCCTGGTGAGAAATAATGCTATAAATATAGAGTAAATTACGTCTTTTCAAGTACATTTTGCATGCTGCGTCTTCAGGGCACTTGGATTACGACGGACGAGCCGTTCTGACATTTTTAAAACGCATTAGTGGAGTTTTATTGCATTTTCAAAATGTGTGTTCCATGCACTTCAAGTGTAGCTGTTATTCCAGCTAGCTGTTATCCTCCGATACCCCGAATGAGTTTTGTGGATTAAAAAACTACACTGTCGGCATGAGGGTCAGTAAGTACTGTCTGTATTTTCATTCTAAAGTGGCCATTTCCTTTAATTACCGTGGGATCACGGTTTGGAGCCTGTACTCTAAAATCAATAATCATGTCCTTTGTTTTGGATGTGTTAAGCACCAAGAAAGAAAGATCACACCAAATGATAAAATCCTCTGACCAGATTTTAATGTCTTTGATCTGTATTTTTCCACTTTTTACTACAGTTTTGTATGTAGGGAGAAGGAGCACGCACTTGTGGTCAGCAGAACCTAATGGAGGCAGCTGAATTGATTTAAAAGCTCCCTTTACTGTACCGTAGCAGAGATCTAATGTGTTGTCCTTCCTAGTTGTGCAAGAAACGTATTGATAAAAGTTCTTTGAGGACTTTTTCAGTGACCCATGATTAAAATCTCCCAATATGAAATGTGGTGCACCAGGTGACATGGACTGTAGTTTCTGCACTACATCAAAGACTTAGTTTGATGTGCTTAGTAGAGTAATCAGGTTTGCTTTTGGGGGAATATACACCGTTGTGATGAATATCTGGGGGAATTCATGGGGTAGGTAAAATGAGTGGAGTGACACTGACAGGAGTTAAAGGTTATTATTGTGACATGAATTTACACATTAAAATCAAATCACAACACAGAAAACAAAGTGAAGAGGGGTATCATGTCTCAGTGCTGTCAAGTTCCCTCTGTGTTTATCATTTGAAAAGACGGGCGGGGTCAGTGTTTTACACATTTCTGTGTGTTTCTGCAGGTCTGGTTCAGTTCAGTGATTTCTCAAAGACTGAGTGGCACCTGAACACATACCAGGACAAATATTCCCTGCTGATGGCCATAGCAAATCTGGAACTGCAACATGGAAACACCATGACAGGTCATTTATCAGCCTGTTGACCAATCCAGAGCAGCTTCACACTGTGACGGACTGAAGGACCAGAGGCTCCCGTTGGATCTAGCCCAGAACCGGGAGTCAAATATATTTACTTTCTGTATTAGGGCCACTCAACGTTGGAAACTGAAGCTACAAAAATAATTATAATTATATAAAATAATACTAATAATTAATGTTAAATGTGGGTGTTGCAGCAGGTGTAAGAACAGATAAACAGGGAAAGTAAGAAAGAAATAATTAGAAGTATTTGAAATAAAGATAAGAATGGAAATTTTTGAGGATTTTGGAGTGAGACCAGGTTGAACAGACAGATCAAGGAGCATCACTTCAAAAATGACCCAGGGTCAGAACATAGTCAAAGAACCAGATATTTCCTAACACAGTTGATGAAGTCTATGACAAAATGAAAGTGTTTTTACTTCTAGAACAAGGGGCACCTGAAATAACTCCCCAACTTTGCAACTTTACGCTTTTTGATCCTCTTTCTTACCATACAGGACCTGCTCTGGACTACATCCTCCAGAACAACTTTAAACCCAGTGTGGGAATGCGAGCAGACTCCCAAAAAATAACAGTCTTGATCACTAATGAAGAGTCCGGGGATCATGTACTCCTCCCCTTGCAGAACCTGAAGGACGCCGGCATTGAGGTCTACGCTATAGGTGATTGACTTTTAGTCTGAATAATGAGAAAGCAGCACAGCTTCAGAAAAGTTTGTAAAATAAGGATACGCTCTGAAATGCTCTGAAACTACAACATTTAAAAGGATACGTTGCAGATTTTCAACCAGCTTTGAATCACAGCAGTGTGGCAGACTGTGTAAATGAACTGTGGTAAACTTCTCTCCATCTAATCAGTGCATAGATATCTGACTCTGCAAGGGTTCCCACCCACACAGGGTTTATAGCCTGCAACTTCATACCAGTCATAGCTGAAGAAGCTTCTTGGATGAGAGGCGAAACGTCTTCAAGAAACGCAAGCAAGTCCGGTTGCCTACAATATAGCATTTAGGATTACCATGACCTGGATGACTGAGAATTTTCACAGACACATAGATATACCTCCTCGCACCCTCTGTTCGATTACACAATTTACATCATCTGGCAGACTTTCGACAATTCTCAGGCTGTTGCTCGAACTACAGGCTGTACTTCCACATTTTCATATTACCTGCCACACATGCCACCACCACAGACACAAAGAGTATAGAAGCAGATTAAGATTCTGACCCACCCCTCTCTCAGTCTTAAACTCGAACCGAAATCCAATCAAACGGTAAAACTAGGCAGTGCTGATCAAATATATATATAGATTATTTTACTGCATTGCCTCTTCTCTTCTACAGTGTTTTTAGAAACATATTTTAGTGCCATGTAATAGTAATAGTGTAATAGTGAGAATTTGTGGAAGTGGGCCCTATACTGTTTCCTGCACAGTGAAAACAGGGGCTGTAAAAACTGAGGTCAAACGGTAAAACAATTCTGGTACCGAGTTGTCTTTTTCACGCTTTAAATGTTTTTAGAAACATGTTGTAGCTGACTGTTTAACTGTAAGAGATCAAGACTCTTTCTTGCCAGCCAGCCACCAATTTTTTTTTCAAACGGATGTGCTTGCATTATGTCACCCACCAGCAAGAGCATTTATTGGTCCAGTGCAGTGCAGTGCATTCTGGTAGTTGTAGGTTTACTTCCTCTTAAGCAAAAGTGTCCTTTTTCTCTGTTTTCTCAGGTTCTGTAGCACCAATTTTAAAAATATTTGTGTCCTTCCTACTGCAGAGACATCCTAGTTTTTAACAGATTTAAGTGCACTGTTTAGCTGTTTGTGACCTGGCAGCCATGTTGAAAAACAGTCTAACACCACCCACCAGCCAGAGCAACTTTCTCAATTTACAGCTGAACGGTATACTAAAATATTTTTATGAAAACATTTGAGGGGAGAAATAAGCAATGCAGTAACAGAATCTCTCAGTCATATTTCATCAGCGCTGCCTAGTCTGATAATTCAACGTATCGCCATAGAACTGTTCATATAATATGCTACAAAATCGTATCCCACGAATGACATTACATCCTTAACGTACAGTTACATGATTATTATAACGCTATAGAGGTTCGGTTTAAGCAAACAAAGTAACTGTGGTTAGATTTAGAAAATTTAGAAGGGGGAAGTCCACCACCCCAACCTGCCTCCTTACAAGACCACTGGGGACTGCTTCCTTGTTTACTCCCATCAGTGCATTGGTCCCATGATCACCTTTCATAATACGTGGGATATGTACAAATTTGGGTGCATTACTTTAGGAAGTACGAAAGTAATGTAGGAAGTCCTACATTACTGTAGGAAAATGTGCAAACAGCTCATTAGCACAGCCTGAACAGTTTCACTGCAGTTCACGTGCAGTGATTGACATGGATGACAGCTGCGTTAGAGATGCCTCAGTCACATGACTTGTACTTAAGTCAGACTCCAGTCACAGACTTTGTGACTTTAGACTTGACCTTGACAACTGGGCTTGAAACTCGATTTGGACCGCAACAGCAATGACTTATGTCATCACTTGAACTTAAGCCTTTTGACTTAAAAATACTTGATGCTTGATGAAGCGTAAAGATGAAAAATAATGGTAATTAAAAAATGTACCACAAACCTTTCAAATTCCCTCCATTTCCTGAATCAACCAGCGTTAAAGCTTTTCCCAGCCGTTCCCAGCTGATATTGGGTGAGAGGCAGGGTTCACCCTGGACAGGTCACCAGACTATCACAGGGCTGACACATAGAGACAGACAACCATTCACTCTCACATTCACACCTATGGACAATTTAGAGTCACCAATTAACCTGCATGTCTTTGGACTGTGGGAGAAGGCTGGAGCACCTGGAGGAAACCCACACTGACACAGGGAGAACATGCAAACTCTGCATAGAAGGGCTCCCCCACCCCTGATTAGAACCAGGAACCCCTTTTGCAGTGGGCGACAATGCTGACCACTGCTCCAACATGCCGCTGCAACTTGAAATTAAAGTTTCAAGCTCGGGACTTGATCATGGACTTGGCACTTGACTTGGGACTTAAGTGAAAAGACTAACTTATGACTTGCAAAACAAAGACTTGGTCCCACCTCTGCTGAGTGGTTGTTTTCCTACAGCCGTGGTAGATTTTAGCAAATGCCAATACAAGGAGGAGGAACATGATTTTTTTTGTTTCATGTACTACTCTGTAGATGTAGTGACAGTGTCACCAAATATGACAAAATGTTTTTCATAAAAGTTACCAAATGTAGCTTTAATAGAAAGAACATCAGTATGGTCTGTGGAAGGTGTAGTTTAGGCATTAGGAAATCAGAATTTTATGACTTTGCCAACCAAACAGCCTTTGTGTTTTGGGTCTCATTTCTTTCAGCACAATGTTAAAAATACATTTTTTTCCCACAGGTGTGAATGAAGCCAACGGCTTGAAGCTGAGGTGGATTGTCTCAGATCCCACTGAAAGTCACATGTACCAATCTTCGGAGGACTTGCTCCTGGACTTCATCAACAAACTCACCATCAACATCTGTAACAGCGCTAATAGCTTAGGTAGGTGGAGTCCATCGTTATTAAACAAGGATGCATGTTTACACCACACTGACCCACTAGTATCGGAATCAGTCTCAAGATACCAGCTTTCAAAAGTTGTTGAACACCAATCAAGTTTTGGATTCTTGCAGTTAGATATCCTTTTCTTACAGAGTTTTAAGGTCTTTTGTAGGGACTTGCTAGCAAAGCCTCTGCAGACTACCTTAACAGGCGCACATTGCACACACATTCTCAGCTAAGGTACTGACCTAAAAGGTTTGTGTGCTTGTATGGTTTTTCCATTGACAATTTTTGGCTGCGACAAATCAAACCATGGTGCACCGATTTGCATTTCCTTTGTCATTTTAAATATGCTGAGCCGCACTGGGCCGCACCACACCTGAAATGGACCATCTCTGCAGTCCAGTCACAAGCACGCCTGACTTCCTCCAAGCGGGTAGCAGTGATGTTTTGCCTACCGCTGCCAAACCCCAACAACCCTCTTCTCCCCCGAGACAAGTGTCTGTGTTCAGCTCTCAGCACTTTGTAACTTCTAACTGAATCTTCTGCGTCCTGTTTGTACTCCAGATATAAATTTCAAATGATTAAATTTTACTGTTTCACGTTCGTTTTAAGGTATATAGGAGTCATGTTAAGTTACTGCTGATGAAAACTTAATATTACCTATTTTTTGCTGCTTCACAACAAAAGATTTTCTTTGTTGTGAAGATGTAAGTGGGTCAATTTTGAGCCCCAAACCCTCTCTAGCATTGTTAACTATCACTGATATCTCTGTTAGCATTGTTAGCAGTGTCAGCAGGGCTAGTGGTGCCAACAAAGTCAACAATGCGAAAGGGGTTTTGCAGTTCAAAATGTAGCGGTTGTCCAACTGGGGGGACCTGGAGACCACCATGTTTCTCCAGCAATGCAATCCCACCACCGGGATGTTGTTACCAGCGGTTTCCACATGCTAACAGACCTACCCAGACGTCTTTCAGCAAAGTCAACTGAAAATGAAAGTGAAAGCATTTACATCACAAAACATTAAAATTTCGCCCCCTCTAACTGGATAGTGTTTAAAATACAGTGCTACAGCTCTGTGAGTCAATGCAGCGCTAGACAACACGTCATTCTGCCTTTTTTTTTTTCTTAAAAATTAACTGTTAACCAGATTACCAGAAGATCTAACATTTGTCCCAATTCCACCTCCTTTAAGGTTGTAGATCTTGTTTATATTCATCATACATTGCTCTCTACCATAGTGTCATTCTTAATGCTTCCACAAGATGGTGCCAACATCAGGAATTTTCAGATCCTTTAAATATATGAATTCTTTTTTATGTTTTTTGACATTTCTGTCATTTCTGAATGTGCTCTCTGTCTGTCTCAGTGTTTTTTAGGCTGGTAAACGGGACTGATCTGTGTTCAGGACGACTGGAGGTGAAGTCTAACCAGTCTAACCAGTCTAACCAGTTGTGGTCCTCAGTGTGTGAAGATGACTTTGACCAGCAGGATGCAGAGGTGGTCTGTAGGGAGCTGGGATGTGGGGCTCCTTCAGTCCTCCAGGGGGCACTCTATGGAGAAGTGGAGGCTCCAATGTGGACCAAAGAGTTCCAGTGTGGAGGTAACGAGTCTGCTCTCCTGGACTGTAGAAGCTCAGACTCAGATAGAAACACCTGCTCATCTGGCAAAGCTGTTGGACTCACCTGCTCAGGTAGAAGAGGAGCTGCAGATTTGATTTGGTTCATTTCTGTTATAATGAAACTCACTTTGTTCTTTTACTGATGACTCTGGTTTCTGTTCAGATCCTGTCAGGTTGGTGGGAGGATCCAGTCGCTGAACTGGAACACTGGAGGTGAAACGAGGAGGCTGGAGACCAGTGGATGGCTCTGACTGGACTCTGAAGTCAGCAGCTAAAGCCTGTGAAGACTTGGACTGTGGCTTTGCTGTGTCAACAGGAATAAGAAATGAGTCCATGCGAACATCTACATGGAAGATCAATCCTCATTGTATTCAGGCTGGATATACTCTGAGGGAGTGTGTCACATCAGGTTCCTCCTCTTCCATCCTGGAGCTCACCTGCTTAGGTAAGCCTGTCTGTGACATCATCTATGACTTAGTTAGAATCTCTTTATGTGGTATGAAATGCAGAGACACAGAGGTCTGCTCAGCAACATGACAGATGTGAATATGTTTATAATGAAATCATAATTGTTGATGATAACATCTTGTAGACAGTACTAATGATGTAATTGCTTGTGTATGTGACTTCCTCAATACAGAATGTCGCCCTCCATGTGACATGAATGTAGAATACAGGCATTGTTTGAAGTCTAGCCTCTGAACTGACACCAGGCTCAGCTCTGTATGTAGTGGGGAGTGATGATAATTAACTCCCAAGTAAAATCGCATTAAATTTAGAGTCTGATGAAGGAATCTGCTATGCAAGCATTGGCAGGACAAACTGCCATGTGGCCATTGCCCTGGAGGACACCTCGCCACAAGTGGGATATACTGTGTTGTGAGTGCTTTTATTGTGTGCCGAGGCCCTTGCTGCTGTTTCACAATTCCTCCTGCAAGGAACCTGTGACGACAAAGGAAATATACTTATTAATGAATGGAGATGGATAAATCTAGTCAGCAGTCCACCTGATATGCAGCAGCTGGGTAAGATGCTCAGCTTTGCATCAAATAATTAAAAATCCTGCTCACCTGGCAGAGCTGTTGGACTCACCTGGGGTTCTTTTCATTATGTTAACGTCCATCCTTGCTTCCTTCACTTCCTCCCAGTAAGTATGTGAGAGAGAGATGCAAATAAGAGACATGAAGATGGAGGAGTCAAAGATGCCAAATGAGAAATCCTTGGTTCTACAGTGTCAGTCTTGAGTTGTGTCAGTTATTGAGCCACATGTGGAGGTGCAACATTTATCCCTCATGGCACTTAATAAAAGTAGAAACATGGGATACACCTGTGTTTCCTCACTCTAACATCCTCCAGAGGCCTCCTAACTCCTTGTCTCCTCAAGTTGCATGCAAGGGATTCAAAGATCCTCCATGATGGGAAAGGGGGAGCGATTTGTAGGTCACAGGAGGAGAGAGGACGTGATGTATAAGTTAGCACAATGAAAAGCATCCCTGATCAGGTAGAAGAGGAGCTGCAGCTGTGATTCTGCTTAATTTCTGTTCTAATGAAACTCACTTTATCCTTTTACCGAGGACCCTCTTGTTTCTGTTCAGAGCCTTTCAGGTTGGTGGGAGGATCCAGTCGCTGTGCAGGAACACTGGAGGTGAAACAGGGAGACTGGAGACCAGTGGATGGCTCTGACTGGACTCTGAAGGAAGCAGCTGTCGTCTGCAGAGACTTGGACTGTGGCTCTGCTATTTCAGCAGGAATAAGAAATGAGGCCATGCGCAAATCTGCATGGAAGATCAGTCCTAGCTGTATTCAGGCTGGACATACCCTGAGGGAGTGTGTAACATCAGGTTCCTCTTCCTCCATCATGGAGATCACCTGCGTAGGTAAGCTGGTCTGTTACATCATCTATGACAGTAATCTTTCCAAGATATGCTTGTATCAAAAACCCTGTAGTTGATCATAAGATCTTCCAGGCTGCACTTTGATGAAACTGCTTGTGTATCAGACTTCCTGAACTAATGGTTTGGGAATATGTGAATCTGTACAGTGTCTGATGAGATGTATCATGTCTGTTTCATAGTATCAATAATCACAAATAAAGATCAGTTTTAAAATTTAAATTCTCTCTCTCCCTCCAGACTCTGTCAGGCTGGTGAATGGGACTGGTCTGTGTTCAGGACGACTGGAGGTGAAATCTGGCCAGTCTAACCAGTCGTGGTCCTCAGTGTGTGAAGATGACTTTGACCAGCAGGATGCAGAGGTGGTCTGTAGGGAGCTGGGTTGTGGGGCTCCTTCAGTCCTCCAGGGGGCACTCTATGGAGAAGTGGAGGCTCCAATGTGGACCAAAGAGTTCCAGTGTGGAGGTAACGAGTCTGCTCTCCTGGACTGTAGAAGCTCAGACTCAGATAGAAACACCTGCTCATCTGGCAAAGCTGTTGGACTCACCTGCTCAGGTAGAAGAGGAGCTGCAGATTTGATTTGGTTCATTTCTGTTGTAATGAAACTCACTTTGTTCTTTTACTGATGACTCTCTGGTTTCTGTTCAGATCCTGTCAGGTTGGTGGGAGGATCCAGTCGCTGCACTGGAACACTGGAGGTGAAACAAGGAGACTGGAGACCAGTGGATGGCTCTGACTGGACTCTGACGTCAGCAGTTGCCTTCTGTAGAAACCTGAACTGTGGCTCTGCTATTTCAGCAGGAAGGAAAGAGGACTCCTCCAACAGATCTGCATGGAAGATCAACTTTGACTGTGTTCACTCTGGATCTGATCTGAGGGAATGTGGAACATTATTGTCCTGGTCTTCCTCCACCCTGGAGCTCACCTGTTCAGGTAAGCCCATCAGTGACATCTGTTGCCTCTCATAGTCAAGGATGCTTCTTTGGAAGGATGGGTCCTTCCGAATCGGGTTCTAGGCAAGATCCCTCCTAGCATTCAGTGAACACACATTGGAACCGGCTAGCGAGTGCCAAGGTACGCATCACTGAAGAAGGCCTGTCTTCAATTCTGGCAAAATGTGCACAAAGAATTGTGGGTAGTTTATGCCCACTGAGGATACACACGTATCCTTGAAAACTCTCTGAAGGAAAGACTCAGTCACTGGGAGAATTCAAAGGATCCTCAACATTGGAACAGTCCTTCAGCCAGATTCGATGACATAGCCTCCTTAAATTCAGCCATTTAAGGAACCTTACTTGACTTTGAGATGCACCAATCATCTGTGACAGCGATCTTCCAGTGTCATCCTTCCTCTGATCTGAACTGTAAAATTATCCAGGACAATAGCATCCTGATGGGTAGAGAAGTGGGCTTATTCCCTGATGCTTCAAACTGTGGAAATCTGCCCTTTAAGCAACCTCCTGTGGTTTTATGTGAAGGTGTTGATTTCATTTCAACCAAACAGGGGCATTAGGGAGAGAATGAGCAGGCTTTAATTCATCCCCTCACAGTGACTTTAGTTAACTGATGAGTGATTTTAGGTGATTTAACATGACTAAAGTTTAAGGTTGATGGGAACAGCTGTACTGATGTGTGTGTCTGTGAATGTGTTTCATCAGATCCAGCAGCTTTTATCATCAGATTGGTCGTCCTGCCGCTGATTCTGCTGTTGTTCAACACTGTCATCTATTTCATCTTTAAGGTACCGTACACATCTCTGTTGATTAGAGGACTGACTAAAACGAAGCACTTAGCATGTGTGTGTTGAACAAAAGAGAAGAGTGATGCAAAAACTCATATCTGTGTGCTGTCATGTCTCTCCAGACCACCAGAGGGAAGAAGCCAGGCCAACAGGAGAACATCGAGGTGGATTATTACAACCTCAGTGTTTTCAGAACTGAAGGAGGATCGGCTGAAGAGGAAGGAGCCCAGGCAGAAGAGTAGGACCTCCAAAGAGCTCATCTCACATCTAATTAGATTTCTCACCTGCCAAACAACTATCCATCAACTCTGAAGGGAACATCTGTTTAACTGTCTAAAATCCTTGTCAAACTGCCAAAGGAATGACAGCAGGAAGAGATAACAACAACAAACAATTCTACACCTCAGCATTCAGTGCTAATGTAGGCACTGTTAAGGGGCAAGGCGGCAAGTAGGGGCATGGAGGTCAGTGTGGTGGATTGGCATGTAGCGTGTCTGACGTTAAACCAAACAACGCCCACATATCCTTTACCTTATTAACCAAGTTTTTAAAATTGCCTAAAGGACCTCTTCTTGGCCTCTGGCTCAGACATCTACTTGAAAACTACATGCCCCAAAATTATAGTATAGTATAGTTTATAGTATTTCCTGCAGCTACAAGGTCTTTATAGATTAGGGACTGTTTATTCTTTATGAGGGTGGATGGGGAAGACAAAAAGAAAGGCAAACATGCTAGACTTTCTGTCTGTTTTCTTCTGGCATCGCCTACCCAGATTTGGTCAGAGTCATGTCAGATCATCTGGATTAAGTCATGTCAGGTCATCTACGCTGCTGAGGGACAGGCATGTCACATTATTTTTTAAGCACTGGTGAGGGACTTGTGTTTTTATTTTATTTTGGATTAGAGGACGGGCATACATATTCAAATTGATGTATTTTGTATTATTTTACTGCATATTTTTAAAGAAAACATGTTTTCTTTAAAAAAATTGCCCAAATTACACCATTTATCACAACCAGAAACTAAAAGCAGAAATTATTGTTGGATTTTCAAATCTCTGACGACCCTTGAACACATCATGTATGACAAACGCTGCCATCAGGAAAAAAACATAAAATAACATTAAAAATAAACCACACAAATTAAGTAGCAGAGTGAAAAAACCAAGGCTGTTTTAAAATCCAGGATTTCGTCTTAAACTTTTAACTTTCAAACATCAAATGAAGTTTTAAAAATCTAACATCTAATTTATGGTTGCGGGAGGATCATGCATTTTCCACCAGTTCGGAAAAATATTTGTAGCTTCAGGAAGGGTCAAAATATATAAAAAAAAAAATCCAAAGTCACACCCAGCCAGCCCTCTTCCTCTGATAAGTAGAGAACAGTCCTTAATCTTGGTATCAAAATCAAGATAACACTTGGAATATTTACTGCTGAGGTTTAAGAATCAGCATAGATGTTACTGGCTCAGACTAAATGAAGAAATAAGACTGAATAAATGAAAGATTTTATCCATGCCTAACAAAACTGCACACTTGTAGAGTGAATATCCCTTTGGAGTTATGCAGTTGTGGCCCCAAACCTCTCACAAACCATGTCACAACATCTAAACATTACCTGGGCATCGACAGATGCTAATAAAGTGAAGGAGAGTAAATTTTAAGAGGTCTTTGTAGAGAAATGTTCAGGCAAAATCCTCAAATTGGCTACTTTTGGTACATTTGTGTACGATCTGTGCCCCCCACGTAACTGTAAAACTCATTTAATGTCACTGTAAATATTAATTCCATCTTAGAATAACTGTTTTTGGCTTTATTTTAAAAATATCAATCAATCAGACTTGTGTTCATGTTCATGTTCCCAATCACTAAGAAAACATATAAATAGCTGGAATACACCTAAAGGAGGCTATAGTGGCTGCCATATGGTCAATAGACTAATGTCGGCAAAGGAATACTTCAGCCACCAGATGAAGACATAAACCGTGACATCAGAGGCTGTGTTTGGACACGACCATGACACAGCAGCTATTATGTACTCAAAGTGATCCAGAGACTTGGATTGCTTATTTGTAGTGGTTTTATGCTTCGTTCAGACTACACAATATCGGCCCGATGATAGCCCGATGCGGCGTCGTACAGTGTCGGCTCACATCGTGAACGACAATGAGTGTCATATGTGATAACCCATGTTTTATCTCACATAGTGTGTCATAGTAGATGACAACCGACGCCACGTCTGGGACGCCTCACGATGTCCTGACAGAAAGTCTAGCATGTTTGCTTTTCTTTTTGTCTTCCACGACTTCTCCCGTCACAGCCGTCACTTTGACCAATAGGAACACAGAGCGATCTGCTGCCAGGGAAACTGTGCGACAACAACAGCCCAGCCTTTTAGATATTTCCTGTAGGGACATTAGCACACAGAGTAAAAAGGAAACAGCAGAGGCACTTTATCAACCCGCTGATTACTGCCATTAGCATCAAGCTAGCAAACAATGTTCTTTCTTCATAAAATGATGCCCTGTGACTTGTATTCTAATGAGTGAGCTGTGCTATCCTTGGGGCAGTGGCTCTTGAGAACAACAGCTTTAATTACACCTTAACCCTATATCAGGAGCCATTAACACCACCCCTTTTCCAGCAACATGGAACTGGTTACGCTCTGGTTCCTGGTACCTAAATTTGAACTGTTTGAACCATTTCCACCTTCAAATAAATTGGTTCAGAACCCAAAAAATAGATTCCCAATCAGAACCAAAAAATAGCAGGCTGGGACAACAGGAAGAAAGTGGAACTACAATTCCAGGAGGACAATCCTAGAAGCATGTGGCAAAGGTCTTAAATCTATGAAGCACTACAACCGTTCTAACTGATGTACAGCAGACGCCATAGCACACATCCTCCACACCACTCCATCTCACCTGGAAAAGACAGGAAGCAATGCGACTGACTACAGTTCAGCGTTTAACACCATAGTTCCCTCCAGGCTGGTCACAAAGCTCAAGGAGCTGGGATTAAACACTTGACTGTGCATGTGGATCCTCGATCTCCTGACAGGAAGAGCTCAGGTGATGAGAGTGGACGGACACACCTCTCTCATCAGAACAGTGAAGTCATTAATTGAACAGGGTTGAGGTACAGACAGGCCTCACCCTTAACAGAAAAACACAGACCACAGAGGCTTCCAGAGAAAAACCAAATGACTGAATGACTGAATGAATGAATGAATGTGTTTATTTCAGTACATTTCAATAAACAATGTAACTGAAAAGGTATTATAAGCTTATAAACACTTACCCCTTTTACCTTTCAAAATTATACTTGTCATAACAATACAAATACAAAAGAGCAACGTGCAAGAATTTGAAATGAATCATATCAATAAACTTAAATTTTCCATGACACAATAGAATGAATAACAAACAGTGCACAAATTCGGAAATAATAGTACAGTCAGTAAACTTAATTTTCTTTACCATAGCAAGAAATAATGTAGTTTTTATAGAGTCTTTTAAAGATTTGTAATGTACAACATGATTTAATACTTTTTGGACAGTTGTTCCAGATCTTTACCCCTTTAACAGAAACACAGTTATTTTTAACATTAGTTCAGGTCTTTGGTTTATCAAATAATAATGTTCCCCTCAGATTATATCTGGTGTCTCTCATTTTAAACAGTTTTTGGTGAGGTGGAGGCAGAAGTTCATTTTTTACTTTGTACATGGTTTGTATTGTGATGTAATCAACTAAGTCCGTGAATTTCAAAATGTTTTTGCAAATAAATAGTTGGTTAGTTGGCTCCTTGCGATAAGGTTTTTTTTTTGTTACAGATCATTCTTATAGCTTTCTTTTGCAATTAAAATATATAATTAGTATTTGTTTTATATGTGTTTCCCCAGACCTCAATACAATATGTCATATATAGAGCTATTATCGAGTAATATAATGTAATTAGTGAATTTTGAGAGAGGAAATCATGGGCTTTGTACAAAAGTGCAATGGATTTTGACATTTTTGATTTAACATAATTTAAATCAAAAAATAGCTCGAAGGAATTTTGTTTCAGATACAATTTCAATATCAACATCATTTATTGTTAAACTTCTGCTTGAGTTCATGGACTTATTTCCAAATAGCATGCACTTTGTTTTGCCAAAGTGAAGTGATAATTTGTTTAAATCAAACCATTGTTTGAATTTCTGCAGTTCCTTCTCCACCGTATCCAGAAGCTGTCCCAAATGATCTCCACTACAGAACACAGTTGTATCATTAGCAAATAAATAACAATTCAGTGACTTTGAAACCAAACTTATGTCATTAATATATAAAAGAAACAGCAATGGACCAAGGACCGAACCCTGAGGCACACCACATGTAACCTTCAAGTACTCCAAGTTTGTCTTATTAATATGAACATATTGATACCTATTTTGTAAATAGCTGGTCAACCAGTCATGTGCCTATCCCCTGATGCCATATTTTTGTAATGTGGTTAATAATAAGGTGTGGTCAATAGTGTGCTTTCTGTAAATCAAAAAATACCCCTGCTGTATATTGCTTTTTCTCAATGACATTTGTAATTTGTTCAACAAAGTCCATAAATAAATACATTTCCTCATTAGAGCTAGTGAGGTAGTCTGATTTTTCCGAAATCCATATTGTTGTTCACAGAGTATTTGGTGCTTTCATAAGAAATCATTTAGCCTCTCCACAAATACCTTTTCCAAACTTTTGGAGAGCTGTGGAAGCAGTGAGATTGGCCTATAATTTGAAAAGACATGTTTGTCACCAGATTTAAACAGCGGTATCACTTTAGCTATTTTCATTTTTGATGGAAATTTTCCACTCGTTAGAGACAGGTTACAAATATAATTTAAGGATTTAACAATACAATCAATAATTTTCTTTATCAAAAACATATCAAAATTATTACAGTCCGTTGATTTTTTTACCTTTCGATTTACGAACTATATAAATTATTTCTTTTTCATCAGTTTTTTTTAATAAACATGGAATCTGAAATTATGTTGATGGTACTGGTGTTTTCCAAGGAAATATTTTTAGGGGATACAATAGAGTTGGCTAGATTTTTACCCACATTAACAAAGTATTCATTGAATCAATCTGCTATAGGTTTATTTTCCTTAATTATTGCATCATTATTTGAATAAAAGAAAGATGGGTAGTCTTTAACAACTTTTTTCTTTTTGATAATTTCATTTAGAATCCTCCAAGTGCCTTTAATATTAGTTTTGTTTTTTTCTAGTAATTCACTGTACTATAATTTCTTGCTAGATCTCATGATACAAGTTAATTTATTTTTGTATGTCTTATATTTGCTTTCAGCATCCTTAGTTCTACGTTTTCGGAATTGCTTATACAATAGATTTTTCTTTCTTTACATGCATTCTGTGGCCCATTTGTTATCCATGGTTTGTCTATATACCGTTTGTTACCTGCTTTGGCCACAAGAGATGATTCCTGCTGTATTCTGAAAAGATAACTCTTTAACAAAAATCTACAGAAAGACCCTATGTCTACCTTATGTCCTTACATAATCAACATGATAAATTCAACTAAACGAGCTATAAGTTTATAATTCAACATCCTAGTGTTGACACAGCAATTGACCCTTCGCTAAGTGCTGCCTATCAAACCAGCCAATCATCATGTAGTATCAGCCAGCTCCGACACGCGACCGACAGCTGCATAGCTGTGCTCCATAGACTCATGAAATTGTTTCAGATTTCCTTCATTGTCAAGCTGGTTTTGTGTATTTCGAGGTTGGAGATGTTCCTTCCCTGTTCAAAAACCAAAATCCAACCCTGTAAAGTGTAGGGTTAGCTAGCTAGCAGCTGAAGCAGGGTATATGCAGGAATCCTGAGGTTAATTTCAATACCTTTTTA